TCGATGTGGGACGTAACTATAATAGTACGTCCTGTTGAAATTGACTAGCTACAGTACGCGCTGCGACTCGTCCACTGACGCGTCTGCGTCTCCGCCTTCTCGCCGCGCGACGGACCTCTCGGGTATCCATCAGTAAAGTATCTTGGCAGTTTGAGTGCTCGTTGAGAGCTTACCATCGACACGAACTGGCATAACTATCCACTGAGGCAGGGTCAAGCGTGCGTTGAGGAATCCTCGACACGTCGCAGGGGGGGGGGGTCGTATTGGCCCGCTGGGTGGAAGAGATCGAGCCATTTTGATGCAGTGGGATCATCACCGTCGGAAGACAAATATCAAGGATGAGTCGATGCCAGGCCAGAGGATTTCCAATGAAAATGATATTTCACCCACACAAAATTTTCGTGATTCTGAGGCGTCCGGTAATTCTTAGTTACTTCAGTGTTTTATCACCACACAAGTTAAAGAATCTGAATTTCGCACGCTTTCCAAGAGATATTTCATCTTTCAAGTAAGACCCCGAATCTGAAGGGATGTGAGGTACACGGCGCATCCGAGAAAGGGTCTAGTTGTTGCGCGCGCTTCAACTACGGCTCCTTGGACAAACAACCTCAATTCAGGAACAATCGAGAGAATTCTGAAAGTGTCCGTGCGCATTTACAGGGAGGTGTACACCATTCAACATTGCGTTAACGGACTCTTCAGGGTTAAATTTATAAACATGTAACCTTTAAAGTTGAGAAACACTAATCAATCACTTTTCTTTAGAAAGAGAAAAGCAGTGATTCCAAATCTGCTCTTACTTTAGTACATAATCGCCCTTAAAAGGATATACAGCCGTTGAAATAGTGCCAATGTAGCGAAAAAGTACCTTTCGGCGGTACTCGTGCGAAAATCCTCAACGTAGCCGTTTTTTTAATACTGGACGTTTGGAGCAGTTCTAGTAAGCATTTGATAGAGCAAATCTTCTAGTTTATGATGGCGTATTTACTTTTCGGATTGGATGAGTTTGAACGGAGTTATGGCTTTAGGAAGTAAAAAAACTCGCACTCATCACAAATTTTCCTCGTTAATTTTGCAAAATCCTCAACGTGGCCATTTTTTGAATACTGGACGTATAGAAGCTGCTTTAGCAACGGTTTGGTAGAGAAAATCTTCTAGTTTTGTATGCCATATTAACTTTTCGAATTTGACGAAAATGAAGCAAGTTGTTGCTTCGGAAAGTGTAAAAACTCGTGCTCATCTCGAATTTTCCTCGTTAATTGATCCTAAATTTGTTATTTCTTATTTTTGTAATTTCTATACTGATTAGAAAAAGCTCTTCACAAAACTTCCAAATCTGCTTTCAGATTGAAAATTCGTCATATTTGAAGAAAGTTATAATCATTTGAATATTTGTTCAAATTTCAATAGTAAATAAGCTGCTCCACGGTCAACGCCAAAGTCCAGTCAACACACAGCTGGCGAAGGCGGTTAAAAAGCTTCTTTCAACTGAAGGGCTACGTGCAAATTGAGAACCACAATCTGTGTAGTACTAGAATTTGGTAAGTCTTGTGGAGGAAATAAATGAAGAACAGATGTTGGGTATGCCATTTTTAGTGGCTAGTTTGTCGTTTTCTGGTCTGTTTCTCGTTTGCTCGTTTGGTAGGACTCATCAATAATGATTATTCTTGACTTTTTCACTTTTGTACTTCTTAAACGAATTTTTTTTGTGGACGGTGGGGTAGCAGGGCTTTTTTATGAGCAGTTTTGGGGAGAATTAAACAACTTTTTCATAGTTCGGCTTTTGAAGAGGGTTGTTTCATGGACTTCGGCCTTCGGCGGAGGGAGGGGGGGGGTCGTATTTCCAAATTTTCCTCGACGCCTCGCTTGACCCTGGTTGACTCTCGTACAATATCGTATAACTTCGTATAATGTACGCTCCGAACACGTAAAATCGGGTATATTATGCCACGAGCAAGCTTCATATTGCTCAAAAGCCATGTTCTACTGTTGAAGGAAATAAGTTCTGCCTAACAAGGCTCAAGGCGTTAAACATATGCTTCGCCCACCACTATAACCGCCGCCCAACAAAATCAATGGCCGGGCGTCTTTACTATTCCCTACCCATCTTCGGGTACCCGACCAGGAGGCCCGTCGCGCGGCAAGTAAGGCAGAGTCAGCGGACGAGTCGCTGTGCGTACTAGTGATTTCGCGTCAAGTTGAAAAGAATGTACCACTGTACATCCGACATCACACAGCACGTGCTGCGACTCGTCCGCTCACTGTCTTCTTGCAACGCGAGACGGGCATCCTGTCCGATATCCCCCATCTTCCTCTTTCATAAGATCGTTTGCGCCAAATTGTGCTTATGGAGTGCAATGGCATCAGATAAGGCCCGACTTCTTTACAAAGCAAATATTCTACTATTCCAAGGTGGAAGCTAGGCTTCTAACGACAAGGGGATCAAGAGTTGTTGAGCATCCCACGGGGAAAAGCAAGCTCGTAGTGTAGCCGTCAGAGTTCAGCTGCGACTAGGATCGTCATAACCATGTCCGCCCAAGGTGGGCGGCTCAGCCGCTGGGCCGCAGGCGTCATGCACGGAGCTTTTTGCCATAGGGGGACGTTGGTCGAGCAAGAGGCAATAGGTCGACAACTAAGCTACGGTTTGAATCGAAGAGCGAGAAAATAAAGGGACAAAAAAGGAGTGCTGTTTATCTTGTTCTCCTCCTCACCCTTGCACCAATCAACGATTCTATTGTCACTTAGGGTCAGTCGCCCATAAGTATATGTATTGAATGATTTTGCTGTGAAGAATGGCAATGTGTTTCGGAACCCAGAGACATGATTCTACAATACAAAGCACGCAACTACGTAATAAAACATATTTTTCAAAAAAGAAGTCATGAACATTTTATTACAATATATTAATTTATACATTAACAACCTGATTAATTCTCTCTTGCCCGCTTTCTAGCCACTTCGCTGTCCTGAAAACATGACATTACAGAGCATTATGCTCGGAACACGTAGAAAAAAACAACTAAACAGCTATCAGATTTTTATATACGACAGACCCTGACCCATGAATTTCCCCTGCTTAGCGTGACCGTGTACCATCACGTCACTTACTGGGAAAGCCAACAGATTCAGCCCTTATTCGCTTCAGGCAGGAATGAATGTAGTCCTCAATGTAGGCAGGAACAAAAGCTCGTTAGAATCCATCCGAAAATTGCATATGGAAAAAGCAGGTCATGTCAGTACGCCATTCCTTTAATGACTTACTGTTACAACTGGCGATATTGCAGCGTGAGACGCAATTTTGACTGAAATGGCTCTAAAGCACAACCCAGGCAGAAGTCGTGTGAAAGATTCCCTTCTGTCTACTAGCGATATACCTTGGGGAGGTCAAAACACCCTTGAGCCGTGATAGCGTTTCGAGACATTCTTGCAATTTTTTTCAGCAGCCGGCCATATTCGCACCAGCAATTCGCATTCGGGTGCAAGAAACCACTACCACTCTGAAGCCCGGCGGGGCATTCTCATTAAACCCCAGTTTTCCCTTTCGTGACAATGTCAGCCACCGGTGGCTGACAAAGCTCTCACTCGGGACAATGGTATTACTGTGGCTGCAGGGCTTGAAATGGAATTTGGAAAGTTTTCTTCCATGGAAAGAATCTTCATACCCTCGCTCATCTACGCCAGCCCTGGGCAGAGGAAATCTCCCTTCACTCGGATTTTATTGAAGAAAAATCTCCTGACGCTGCTGCTATTGCGCAATCGCGAATGGGTTAATCAAATAAGCTGCTACATTCGGTACTGCCCACAAGTTGGGTCCGAGCTTAGCGATCTCTGAATATTCTTACCCCCCCCCCCCCCCCCCCCCCCCCCCCCCCCCCCCCCCCCCCCCCCCCCCCCCCCCCCCCCCCCAACCGTCAAAGTACCGAAACGCTCACCGTGCCAAATTCATAATAATGTGGAGCGAGTTCATACAACCAGTGAGGCTCAATTACGGAAACATCTCGAATTGAATCTTGCATAGCCTCTGTGAAGATTACCCTGAAATGTACACGGTCAATAATAGTGGTGCAAAAAGGTCCCTATTAGTGATAATCACCCATTAGCTGAGTCACAAGATAATCACGCTCACCACTTTGGGTAGTCCTTCTTGTACATTATCACCGATCCTTTATAGACATTAAACGGAAATCCTCCTTGACCGTTACATACTTTCCCGTGTAATGATACCTGGCCGCTTGCGAGAAGAAACCAGAGACAAGACATCGTATTATCTTCGTCGCGGCATCTGAAATCGAAGATTGCCTCAATTAGGACCTTTCTGACCCCAAGTGACTCACTTACCGGTCTGCCCTCGTACCGAGACCAGTGGTACTTCACATCTTCGCCGCAGCCTCATCAAATGAGCCGACATTTCAGCTCGGCAAAGTCCACGATAGTTCAAAAAGTGATCTCCGCACCATTTCTTACTCTTGTTGTTCTGAAAAAGGTTGGATAAAAAATGTGACAACACTTTTGTTCAGAAACAAGCCCATTCTCAAAAGTTTGTACTCAGGTTTCACAAATGGCCTTCTCCTATTCCCTTCTCCTTGAAAATGTCTACCCTTTCGTTCGCGGGTGCGCGGCTCATTCCACGAAATTGTGGACAGTACTATGGTTATATTAAAGCTAGATCGAAACCAAAATGACGATTGCATGAAGTGACGTTTAAGTGCATGTCATTGCAACCAATTAATTTAAGTTTTTGCCTTTCTAGTTTCTTTATAATATAAATGAAATCGAAAAAAATTGAATTAAAATAAGTGCGTTCTTAAAAATCATAAAAGTCTCGCATTATGACTGAAAAGTTGAAAGCTGACCTGAACGAACATCGTATACATATTCAGATATGCAATGTGATCACCTTCTTCTGCAGCAAATCGACGCTTCACCTCCTCCTGTAAAAAACACCAAAAATCTGACCATACTAAAGGTTTCTACTTTATAAAATACTATATGTAAAATGATTAAGCATTCATGGTTGATCAAATACCTTTCCGAGATCGGCCACGCATTCTATCTTCATACAAAAAAGTGGAGCATTCAAATGCGCTCCGTCCTCACGGTATTGAGGGCCTGAGCAACATAGACGAGACCCAATGTTGGATCTGGTCCCGGGAGCAAACCCTCCATTGAATCTCGTCCCGTATGCGGGATGACCGCCACTACACCATTCCATTTGACATCTACCTAGGGCGATATCACTTACAGATCTATTCCTATTCCTTGTCGGCGTTAAAAACACGTCCTGCACTTGGAGCATTGCAATAATCGTGGCGATTTCTTCACTGCATCCGAAATCGCCTAAACAGAATTTGTACTTAAGAGAATTAGAAGGAAGAATCGAACATATTCATCATTGCCACTAATTGTATTGCAGATGCTTGGACACACCTGATGTCAGCAAACATTTGCTGTGCATCGGTGGCAAGGGAAACTCGGACATTCGAAGACCCAGTGGATTTGTGAGCATGCACCTGGAATTCGCAAACTTGCACTCTGAACTAGCAGGACATTACTAGACAGATAAACGTGAGGAACCAAAATTCGAACGAAAGGCGGAACCTCACTGTATTCAGAAAATTACTTACTTTTCGTCCAGAGCTCCAAGAGCATAGAGTAATTCAAGCGCATTGATAACCGACCACGAAGGCGGCCTCTGCAAAGGACGTGATCAAATAGACAAGGTTCCGACACAAAGATATAATTAAACACCAGTTCAAAGCACAGTAATCACAGAGTTAGTGGGCAGTCCTGCGCAAGGGTTTCGAGGAAAAGACTCAAGTACACACAAAAAACAATAAAACATGACAACTTCACGCTATTTGGCGGAACAAGCGTCTCCTCCGCCGAAGCTTCACTATGTCTCATTATAAATGCGCACGAAGTACAAAAAAAAACATTTCAAGGAGTAATGGTGGATTAATGACATCATTTCCATCCTGATAACCAGACTTGGGGAACCAAGCGAATGTGCTTTCATGTATCATCCTGAGAAACGCTTGTCTCATGCGCTCCGTCTCCAAACTTGTTAAATTCAAAAGGGGTGTTTTGAACGGTGTCAAAACGGCATCATGGAGAATGGCAGAGCAGACATCCCCTTTCCTGACCGCAAATGATCCAACTCAACTTCTCGAGAATCTCGTCGATCGCGAACGGAACAGTTGGAATATAACTGCCGAAAGGATGGAATTTTTCAGTTCGTAGAAATTCTCTAGAAAATCCCCAAATGAAGTTTTAATGTCAACGCCTCCAATGCAAGCACTCTCTTTTTAGCTCAAATACCACCCTATTTACTCGCCCATTCCGCGAGCCACGCTGGCTATGCTTTTTCGAAGTTTTATTCAACTGTAACTTACAGATAGGTAATGAAATTTGTGGACATTCTGAATTCCTAGAGCCTTCAGCTGTAGAATTACTGGTGCAAGGTGGCAACGTTGAATTTCGGGAATTGTACCCTCACATAACTTCTCGTATTGCG